CAAAGATGTGACTCGGATTCAGGCTGGTTCCATCTTGGCCTCCATAGTTGATGTAGGGGAGAAAAAAACTGGAGGTTGTCCAGGGACTTTTTATTGCTTCAGCTTGTCAACTGCACTCACAATCCATTGGTCAGAACTAGTCATGTGTTTCCACCCAATTGCAATGGGTGCTGGGAAATGTGCCTTTTGTGCATCCAGTATGAAAAAGAACATCACTATTGGTGAACATTCAGGTCTACTCCAGTGGAGTAGCTTTGTTCTGCGTAAATCTGGCTTAGCTGAAACTTCATTTCCCAGAATCTCCTTTCTTTTAGGATTACAGGTTAATTTTGACCGGAAGGGAATATTTGCATGAGATTCGGAAGGTGGAAGTGAAGTACCAGCTGCTAAGTTCAGAAGGAATGGACAAGGGCATGGCTGCAGCAGCTCACAGCCTGATCTCCTGGCTCACCCGGTTGTCGTGGGCAGCTGCCAGCCTGCAGTCCTCCAGTGCCCATCAGATCTTTTTCTTCAGTTTCTCTGAGTCCTTGGTCAGATGCACATGCAATTCCATGGTGAAGGCCACCAGCTTCTTTTTAGGTCCCATGGGCTATGGCATTTAGAGATGTTGAGAGCTAGATGCAAATGTGTTTGTCCTCACGGGGTCCAGTTTCATTCCTCCCTCCTTACACTCCGATTTTCTCCCTGACTGCCAGCCCCACTGAATTACTTACTCCAGACCCACCTCCGGGTACAGAAGCGCCAGCCTTCCATAGAGCTCTTCACCCGTTCTTTCCCATGACTGCATGTTACCTATCATATTTTTTTCTGATAAAACCCAGTTAATACAAAATACATTAAGTTTTTATAAAGTTGTGTCTATTTGTGAGGTATTGTCTTCACAGAAATTTTACTTGAATTTACTGCGGAGAAGACCAGAATCACAAAGACACATTTGCTCTACATTGAAAAAGAAAGAACAGACCACGGCACACAAAAAGGCAGATGCAATTGTCCAAAGGGAAGACACTTATAAACATGAAACTAAAAGTACTGTGACAGGAACAGGGAACTACCTCAGAAGCTTCTTCCTATAGAAATCAATTTTAGAGGAGAACTTTGGAAGGATAAGCTGCAGTGGATGGTGGAGGTGTCCACGCTTCCACAGTTGTGAGGACAATTCTACATGGAGCTGATTTTGCCCCACGGACCAGAGTTAAAAAGGAACAGGCTCCTTTAGGGGAAAATCCACAATGAAGTCTAAAACCCAGAATTTTCCATTAAACTGAATCAAACCGAATGCAACAACTGATCTTAGTTCCTATAAATTTTCTATCTGCGTAAAGTTTGGCTTCTGTGTTTCTGTGTTTGCCATGTAGCCGACTCCATGTGATACGTTAGCACCATTGCTGTCTGGGAGGAACACAGGCTAAAGTTCACTGATTTCTGGCCTGTGGCTGTGCCCTGAAGCCTCAGCCACCCAGGTTGACCAGTCAAAGGCAGGGTCACTTGCGGACATCCATCACATTCCTCTGCACACACATACTTTTGCCCTTTGCACCAATATTGCTCACTGGAAGAGGAACTCATTGTCTACTTTCCCTCCTCCAAACTTTCCTCTGATTTCAGACAAAACAAAACAACTTTTGCCATACTTCTTCAAGGAACTGTGGCACACTGGTAAAAGCCCACATGAGCAGAGAATTCTATTCATGGTTTGCATGTGATTCATGCAACTCATTTTGATTTCAGCTGTCGCATGCTTCACTCTCTGAGGGGAACTGTCATTCGAAGTGCTGGGTGTCAACAACCAGGAAATCCTAGATGACCAAATGACATGTGTCCACTAAGCCTGCAAGGGTATCATACACAATGAGAATATGTATACATGCACACATACCAGCAGGTGTTTGCCAATTTGGCCAATTCCCCATCAATGCTAGGCACATTTGTCCATATGGATTAGCTCATCAGTGTAGTTCAAGTCACCAAACTTTTTGTCCCTCATGCTTCCCTATCTAAAACAGCAATAATAACAACTTTCATACCAATGGAAATATTATTTAGAAACTTGGTATGAAATGAATAAAGTGCTTAAAGTATCACATGTGAAAAAGTTATATATATCCAACTTTATTAATAGTTTATAAATTATACTAATCTAGTCTTAAATATTATATTAGAATCATGTTCTCTGAGGCAAATAATATACTCTACTCTAGGGAAAAAGTCTACTGATGATATGAGTACTGGTCTGATAATTTTATAAATTATTCAAATCTATGCAAACCTGCCAGTACAGAGATGATACCTGGATTTGTTTTCAGATTTCTCAAGTTTCACGTGCACGTTACCTCCTGTGCTTGGTTTTGATATTTTCTTCTACTAAATGGAACAGCTTTACAATTACTTCAGAGATAGCAAATGCATAACTAGAGGGCCTGACCTGGCCTCAGAGATTGATTATCTAAAAACTGGAACTAGTCGTCAAATTTTGCAAACAGAAAGCGCACCATGGCCTTTGCACTCCCCGCACGTGGTGTGCATTCCAGTCTCACCCATTTGAGCGACTCCCTGGGCCCCTGTGCTTGTGTTTCCGATGCCTGCTCCACCCTGTTTTTGCACTGTATCATGTGTCATGGCATAGGGGAAAGGGTCTGTGGGCCAGACCCTTAATATGCTGATTTGCTACTCTGTCTAGATTCAAGACCAGCTGAGGGAACAGGTCTCTTAGAGCTCCTCTTCCACAAAGCTCTGCCCTCTGTATGTTTAAGCAGTATCTCTTGAGTCTGTATTCTGGTACCTCATTATGTCTGTGTACCATTTACTTACTTATCTCCCGGTCTACTGGGCCCGTGGAGGGTAAGCACCTTTCTTCCTGTTTGTCATTTACTCCTTCTTTCCCTTAATCATAATGAAGTCCCAGTCTTCACCTTCCCTGACCTCAGATCCCCAGTCTTTCTACACATCTCAGTCCTACGAGGGGCACAGAGGCAGGGATGGCCCCTACTATACTACCATTTGTAATAAAATAACTATAAACTAATAAGAGCAGTCAAAACAATGAGTTGTGAGTAATATGGAAATAAGAACACAGTTCTGATGCGAATGAAATATCTTCCTGATATTATCAACCGCCCACTAGAAACTGCATCCTCTTCACCAACAGAAAAATTTCCGTTTTCAAGAAAATAAGCCCTTTTCTAAACTAACTTTTTAAGGGGTAGAAAGTAATACATTTTACACGTATACAATTTATCAATATCATAGTATATGATACATTTTCTCACCTAAAATATTTTAATTTAGGAAACATACTTTCTTAAACTATTGGGCCTTAGAATGGACTATGTGGGAAAATACAATCCTTTTAAAATTAAAAATTATACTCAGCATTAACTGATAACTTTAACCTCATGTGAATTTTAGCAACTAAATAGTAAAACATTTCCCTTAACATCGAAATCAAACATGATTGTATTTAATGTCACTATATAAATATGAGAACATTAATTAATACTCGTCTAGGTCAAATATTCTGGTTGCATTACAAACATATATATAATAAGTATAAATTGGCTACCAAATTTCTGCATTATTATCTTCATCATGAATTAATAGCCTGCAAAATGCCTTGTTTTCTTTTTTGTTGTTGTTCATTTTGTCTTGTAATCTCTAAGTTTTCAGACAGAAAAGAGAAGCACGAGTGAGAAATATTTCAATTCTGAACAGGTAAGACTCTTGTGGGCTGCAGTCTCTCCAGGCTGCTTCCCATGGGAGGCAGTGCGTGGTGACATGGGAAGTGGCTGCCAACCCGAAGGCCTGTCCCCTAGAAAAACCTTACCTCAGTGTCAGAAAACACTAGTCAGTTCAGCGTCTTAAGGACAGGTTGTTCTCATCCATAACAGTTAATTTATTCTCTTGATGTTCAGACATCAAAAAATATTTGATTTTGTATTGAAACAGTATGTTCCTATACTGGAATATGCTCACTATACCACTTTTCTTTCCTCTGCTCACAAAACTCTCTGCCTGATTAAAAGAGTTTGAACTGTGCTTTGCATCTAATGCTGTTATAACAATGATGGTCTTGGATTAAAATAATAGATGCTTTGTTCTACTTGGGTTTTTGAGCCATTTGTTTAAAAACCAAGTATGTGATATAGTTTAAAGTTTTAATAAAGAATTTAAATCACTTTTTAATAAAAGTGATTATGCACAGTGGAATTCTCATACATTTACGGACTGCCTGCTGAGTTCAAAGTTCTGTGCTGTGTGCAGATATATATCTGTTTCTTCATCTCTTTGGCAGGGTCCTTCAGCAACTGGTCAGGAAAAATGCTATTATGTCAATGTGAAGAACACTTAACTTGGGGAGGGACTGGGAATGCAGGGGTGCCAGGAGATTCAGCTCACAATTCAACAGTTTTACTCCAAGTATACATTTTAACAGGGATTGGTTCAGGCATCCTTTATAATCTACCTGGACCAATGAACTGAGAATTTCATGACCCAATAGCTTAAATTATATTAAACCAATTGAAAAGACTTAAAAATCGTCCTAGCAAATCTTGTCTGGACCTTTAACTTTGGTGGTGACAATGTCGGAGCTTAAAGACTCTGGAGGCAGTTTTCGGATCTTGTGGGGGCGGGGCCAGAAGGTCATCACAAAGCACCTCCTGACCATGGTGTCATGTGTCTCGCTCCCTGACCACACGGTAGTTCTCCACACACTTTCCTTACCCCAGTGCTGCTTCAACGCTCTCAAAGCTTTCGTTCTAGGAATAACATGAGTATGGCAGGTTATTTCGCCCTCCACAAATTCTAGTTGCATAATTTAACATAAAAACAATTTGGAAAGGAGATTATTATCTTTCTACATTCCAAAAAGCTCTCACTGATACAGTTTAAAGTAGGCAATTGATATGCTGCATTTTTTTTTGAGTATTCAACATAAATTTCTTGGATTTTCCCCCCAACTGTAGGAATAAAACCACTCAGTTCCTTAAACACAGCAAACATAAATCAAACAGCTTTTACTCCACATTTATAAAATGCTGCCATCATAAGTTTCTCAGAATTTCCCACCATCATTAAGCATTTTCATTTATTAATCTCAATATATTTTAATAGGACAATATGTTTTCAAAAACGTCTTCCCTGGGGCTGTCAGCTGTTTCTTCACCAAATCTTTGAATATCTCAGCCTACACAGGATTTCTAGCATTCCTCTTACAAGTTATATGAAAATCTTGAGCTCTGCACGGACAGAGCCCATCCGAACCTGGGAGAAAGTGGTCACGGTCCGGTTGTGACGTCAGCTGGAAGGGCCGAAGCTCCAAAGTACTGGCTGCTGGGGCTGTAAATCCCTTGTGGTGCACGGTAGGGAATCACTCTGTGACAGCTACAGTTTGGGAGCAGTAACATTTTTCTTTGCAACTCTCATTTTTAATCTTTTCAGTTATTTTCTACAGTTAAAGTTAGCCACCCAAGTGTGACTGCATGTGTCACTGACCTATGCGCAATAATTAAAAGAAAGCAAGTCCAACCAACCATGACAAAGGGTGCAGTCAGCACTGAAGGCAAAACTGACTCTTACCGACTCAGCAAAAGGTAGTTCTCTCTGCACGGCATCCCTCCAGCCCTGCCTCTCCCTACCCTCTCATCCATGCGAGCAAGTTACTTCACGCTGCGTGAAGGATATGTGACGTTTGCTCTCTAGAGGCTGCATTTTAAGTTTGGTCTTCTCAACCATAAAAACACAGTCATAAATTGTTCTCAGAGCTAAACCAGTCAACATCTTGGCACTTGGTTGTTTTTACTTTTCAACAATAGGCACTGTTTACTCTCTTCCATCTCAGTTCTTTATTCAGTGATCAGGCAGGACACTGATGAAAGGCTAGTCACGGCTTTCCCCCATGGTATCAGTGTGGTGGCATGTGATGGTTCACGTGGGGCGGGTTTGATCCGAGAAAGCCCAGTCTCTGCTTATTCTTCCTTTGTTCTGTCATCTGGGGAAAGAGAGAGAGAGAGAGAGAGAGAGAGAGAGAGAGAGAGAGTGTGTGTGTGTGTGTGTGTGTGTGTGTGTTGGGCTTATTTCCTCGCTCTTTCCCAGTGCTGGTGAGCCACACCATTTGGGGTTCACTTTTCCCAAGCACCTACAGCCTGTCTGGCATCATATAGAATATATTTATTCAGAACGGGGAAAATATTTTTAAGTGAATTTCCATAAACAGAGAAAACAAAGCAAACCCCTCTCTGTGGTTAAGAAACAGGAACCACGGTTCTTTCAAAGCAGCCCTTGCCTGTCACATACTCATCATCAGCCCCATCGTCATTTTAACAGCTACCAGTTACTTTTGATATTATTTTTACAGATGCTAGCAATTTTACTTGATGAAGGGGTTGATTATAGGATTGAAATGACAGATACTAATGATGATCTGCCTTTCCAGTGAGTTTAGTAATTACTCTGATGGTAGAAAGTATGATTTTTGATCAAAAAAGTGTTAAGAGGTCTTTGTGTTTTGGCACGCACGCCTTTTTCCTCCCCTGACTGGAAGAAGGTTCACACAAGATGGGGAGGAGGACAAGTAGAACTTGCAGAGAGATGGTGCTTCTTCTTGTTTTTTAATCCTCACCTGAGGACATGTCTTCACTGCTTTTAGAGAAAGAAGAAGGGAGAGTGAGAAGCACTGACCGGTTGCCTCCCTTCTGCGCCCGGACAGGGGATCCCGGCATCCAGGAGGTGTGGCTCTCACAGCACAACACAGAGTTTCTTTACCGGGATTTTTCAATTCTGCAGCTTGCTCCCAGGATGCTCTGGGTCTCCCCTTGCTCAAGACGGTGAACGATTTCCCCCCACCTGCTCCATCTCCCTGAGCGCACTGACCTGCTCCTTGAGCTCTGCCAGCTGGCCTGACAGCTGTTTGACCAGACTCATGGTCGACTCCAACTTCTCCTGCAGGCTCCGAATCTCATTTTGCTCACTGTCACCTTCGTTGCTAACAAGGGACATGGCTCGCATCCGAGGAAACCAGTCCAAATTCTTCTCCTAAAAGAAGTAAAAGTTCAGAAAGAAGGGAGTAAGTATGGAAGGAAGCCTGAAGTTCTGTAAAGACTGTTTGTAGGTGTTCATTTTTATTAACGTATAAATCAAAGTTTCTTAGCACTTGAAGAAAAGAGAACTTTTTCTAGCCTGGAATGGGAGAGGATAGGGTGGGAATGAAGTCGGGGTTAGACACTGATCTTCATGAACTGAGGGGAAATCTTAAGTATTGCAACAAACTTCTAATGGGTTCCCAGGGAGGTCCCAGATACACATTCAGAGCGGGGTCCTGAACCTTTCAGGCACCCAGCGAATCTTGATGAGTAATGAGGTGGGGTCTGGAGCCAGGGAGAACAGATCCAAGTGTGCATGGTACAGTGTAGGCCTGAGCTGCTGCTCCTTCCTCTCCGCACAAAAGAGAAAGGGGAGGAGGAATAGGAGGGTGGTCAAAGAAATGTTTCAGTTCCAGCCGCCCATGCTAGTTTACCTCTGACTTCTGCCAGACGAGCTCAGAGTCGGCTCAGGGAAGAGGGAAGTGGAAGGGCATGGCCCTAGGCTACTCTGTCTGCTCCCTTTGGACACATGTTATTACAAAAGGGGCAGACTTCCCCAGAGGGCAAGAGCTGGTACTACTTCTGTTTTTCTAGGTGGGCTGCATACAGGGGTGTGTGTATGTGTGTGCCTGCACCCATGTGTGCGCGCACACACCTGGGTGTGCACACACGCACTTCCCCTCCATTGTGGTAGAGACGAAGGGCTGACTTGATACCCAGCTGCCTTGGAAATTCTGCCTGATTGCCTAACATCATAGAATCACTGTGCATTACTTATATTCCATTTTGAATCCTCAAAAAAGCCTGTAAAGTATATCATGTTGTCTCCATTTTACAGATGAGGAATACGTGTGACTCCAATAGTTTAATTACCCACGTCACAAACTATGAAATGAGAGAGCTAGGATTTGAGTCCGGTGAGTGTTTCCACCACCCGTTTGGTTTGTCCATCTGTATTCCTACCTACCCATCTATTTCTCTAAGTCATCTTCTCCCAACATCCCCAGCTATGATCTTCCTGTTTATGATTCTTTCTACTCCAGAAAAGTCCACTGAAGTGGCTACAAAGACTTCTGCCTGGCAGATCCCGAGACTAAGTCAACAGAGTACTTTCCTCCCCTAAGGTACTGCAGACAGGCCTCACCTATGGCTCTCTGAACTCCTGTCTGAATCTCATCCAGCCTTGGGTTGGTTCTTTTTTGTTTTGTTTTGTAGTTGTCCTAGCCTGAGAATAACAAGTTGTTTATAATTTCCTATGCCCAATGACAATGAAAAGGGCTGATAAAGAATTAAGGATAAAACATATTAAAGAGTTTCAAACTGCATTTAAACAGCTGTAGTTAATTAGCATTTCAAAGGAGAATGGTAAGTTACTCAGAAATGCCAAATGACAGCCAGATTCATTTATTCAATCAATCCTTTTACCTCTATTGCCAGGTATTTAGAGACAAAAATCAGATGAGGCAAGTTGTCTGCTCTCAAGGACCTTGTGGCTGAGATCAGCCCTCTGAGAAAAGTGAACATCGCACTGTGTGTATCAAAATACACTGGGGTTGCTCTTTAAAGCCAAATAGGGGGCTCAGGAAATGCCTGCAGGGCAGGGCGGATGGCCCAGCGGAGTGGAAGACCGTGCCTTGTAGTGACCCCAGCAGCTACTGTTGTTCACCAGCAGCCCAGGTGGATGTGCAGCTGAGGCAGAGAGCCGGACTGACAGAGGATGCTGTGCCCCTGGAATTCGTGTCAGAAAGACAAAGGTACGCAGATGTCAGCAAAGAAATGTCAGCAAAGCAGTGAATGTGGGGACTGGAAGGAAGGATGGAGAAGAGACTGTGCTGAAGGTTCTATGAGTACTGAATCCTTTCAACAATCCAATGAACTCAGTTTTTTTTTTTTATTTCTTTGGCATGTGAATTATTATGTACAGTATTATGTATTATCTGAAGTTTACAAATGAAGAAACTGAGGCTAGCAAATGTTTCAGCTGGGTTCCCAACCCAGATCTGTGAGCATTGAGATTGCTTGGCAAGACTAAAATTCTGAAAGTAGACCAAGTTTAGAAAAAGAAAATTCTAGAATGAGAGTGCCTTAAATCTGAAAAAATGTCAGTGAATTGGGGGACTTTGTATTTAACAGGGAGAGAGTTTTAGTTGGGGGAGATGAAAATTCTCTGGAGATGGATGGTGGTGATGGTTGGAAAATGGCATAAATGTACTCAATGCCACAAACTGGTACACTTACAATGATTACTTTTACGTTATGTATACTTTACCATGATTTTTTTAAATCAATGTATTAGCAGAGCTAATCTTTTGGGTAAATGATGTACAAAGTCCTTGAAATCATCCTGAAGGAAGTCAGTGCTTGGGGTGGATTAGGAAGCTGTGGATGGCCATGGGCCAGAATCTGTGGCAAATGTACAGGAGATATTAGAGGACGGTGACGTGGAAGGTTTGACAAATGCATGTTCACGTGAGGGTGAAGATGCAGTGATGTCTTGGCGATGTGGAGCCAAGTCTGCTGACCCTCTTCTAGGGCCCTTAGTACTGAGGGGTCAGGAACACAGGCAGTTGCTGCCCACTGGCTTAAAGAGTCTAGAGGGCAGAGTGCTGGCAGAGGAGAGCTGGTCTGCAACAGGGTGGACACCAGGGGCTGATGGAAGGGAAAGTTTGAGAGCCTCAGACAGCTGAGTGTGGGGGGAGAAGGTACCAGGTGACAAAGTGATACCCAAGGTGTGGATGGTGAAAACATCAGCTTTTAGAGAGTTTCCAAAAGGAATGGGCAAAACATTGTCCAAAAGCTTAGCAGATCCCAACTCGGCCAAAGAGAACATAGGTGAGACTGAGTCTTAAAAGAAATGTTACTGCAGTTTTCTTAGGAACTGGGATCAGCCTCGTCCGCTTCTGAGGAACAAACAGCAGCAGCTCTCAGGGGACCATCACCCCGGCCCTAGGACCACGGGACTCTTTTCCCCTGCACATTCTTGCTTCCCTGGTTCCTTCGTCCATCCCTTCATGTACTAATTCTTACTGTGTTTACTATGTCTGCGCTAAGCACTGGGAAAACAATGGTGAGCAATACCCAGCGCAACTCCTGTGCTCACAGAATTGACAGTCTTTGTGGAGAGGAAGACTTCAATCAAAGGGTGTAAAAACAACAGCAAGCCGTGCTTAGGGGCTGGGAAGGCAAACCACACAGCAGGTGCGCCTCATCCTTCCTCTCCATCCCTAAAAATCATTCTCTCTGAATCCTCCGGTTTTCTCATCTTTCCTTCACTGCTTGGACCCTTCTGTTTTTGTTGTTTACGTGTTTCTCCATCTTTTCTCGCCCATTTGTGCACTCTTAGTTTTCACTGCTCCCTTCCTCTGTGTGTCAATTGACCATAATCTGAAACAAAGAAAAAGTGTAACTATGACTTTTTCCATATTGAATGCTTTGTAGTTCCTTTTCTTAATTTTTGAGGAACTTAACTTGAATGTGTTACATCACTCACTAAAATGGAAAAAATAACCAACCTAAATTGTTTTTGTCCTCTTTTTGTGAATACAACCAATCTTTTAAAACTAATTTCCATACTGATGTTTCTTCAAATTTGTGTGGAAAGGACATACTTTTCCCCAGAATAACTGAAATACAACAGTGTTCTTAGAATAACAGCCGCATATACTTTTTTCATTGACAGTGGCTCCCAGTTAAATACCCGAAGGTTCCTCTCTCTGCCTAACGGCACCACGAGCGGCTTCTATGGAAGGCTCAGCCTGGGCACAGTGAGGAAGTTGAGACCAGAACTTGAGCCTAAACCAGAACCTTAGGACAGACACGCAGGACAGGGGCCAGTGAACGGGACACCACTTCCTCACCATGCTGACTTGCAGTGTGTCCGCCATCTAACAAAGCAGTCAGGTCTGACCTGTTCCCGGTTACTCATGTGTGCTGTGTGCATCTCGTGATTGTGATTAGCAGATTCCCGTGTTGACTCTGGTTAGTCAATGTGAAATCATTTCCTTATTTCACCAGGAATGAAAATATTTGACCACAGGGTAGTATAAAGTGAGGGAAGTGGCAGATTAATTATGTGACTCTGAAGTTGCAATGTGAGATCCTAGTGACTTGGTGGGTGGAAATTCAGAGCTTCTCAAGGTTTTTAAAATGCAAAGCCCAGAAATGAACTCCTCATATCTCTGAAGAAGTACACACAGAGCATGCTAACCATAACTGTCTCGCTATCTCTAAATCCTAATAATAGCGTATTTTTATAGATGACTAGAAGATGGATAAATAGAAGTATAAAAATCTTCCAAATAGTCCTTCCAGCAGTCAGATCAACCTGCTTATTTAATTTTGCACTTATTCAATACAATGCTAGGTTGTCAGTGTCAGTCAAAGCTTAGCTGTGCTTTGTTTTCATATGTGGTTCTTAAAGGTGAATACCCATTTACAGGGCAGAGGCCATGTGCAGTAAGGCAAAGAGCACCAAGATAGGAGTCAGGACACCTGGTTCTGGTTTTAGCTCAGCCAAAAAGCAGTCATATGATATAAGAGGAGGAAAAGCCTTGCTCTCCGGGTCCCCACTCCCTTACCTGTAAAACCAGCATGTTACCCTAGGTGTCTCTATGTCTCTTCCTGCTTGTCATTCTGTGAGCTGTGAATTCAAGGCAAACTTTAAAAATCAAATTGCTGAGACAAATCTCCAGCTCGCCAAGTGAGCTAACAGACACAGAGCATTTAGGCAAGAGGCAACCTTGAAACCACAGAACCCAAGCTCATCATGTTATAAATGCCTGGCCTGAAACCTAGAAAGTGTAGGTTTCCTTGAGGTCTTACAACACAGCAGCAGATGTCCCTGCACCGCATTTTCACTTCTGGACAAGTTCTTCCAAATTACATAGTGGACTAGCTCTCGCACATATAATCCGTCCCCGCCGATGCTTAATGGACCACGGGCTTAAGAGCATG